TTGAAACATGTTAACAAAAAAAATTCAGGTCCCAAAGTATCTCAGCTAGCAAGCCCTACGCCCTCGGGATGCTCGAATTGGACGCTGAAATGTCATCCCTCTAAAAATTGCAGAAAAGCCGGAAAATTGACGTCTGTGCACAATTTAGCCAGGTGCATTTTGAGCTCAAAAACCCGGTAAAAAGTGTGAAATTAATTAGGCAGACACGCGGTCATTTTTATGGCTTTTTCTAAATTAACCAAATGCGTACCTGATGCGTGGGCAGGCTAGCAGAGACTCTTTGAGGAATGGACGGGGCAGGCTAGCAGAGATTCTTTGAGGAATGAAGGGGCAGGCTAGCAGAGATTCTTTGAGGAATGGAGGGGCAGGCTAGCAGAGATTCTTTGAGGAATGGAGGGGGCAGGCTAGCAGAGATTCTTTGAGGAATGAAGGGGCAGGCTAGCAGAGACTCTTTGAGGAATGGACGGGGCAGGCTAGCAGAGATTCTTTGAGGAATGAAGGGGCAGGCTAGCAGAGATTCTTTGAGGAATGGAGGGGCAGGCTAGCAGAGATTCTTTGAGGAATGGAGGGGGCAGGCTAGCAGAGATTCTTTGAGGAATGGAGGGGCAGGCTAGCAGATATTCTTTGAGGAATGGAGGGGCAGGCTAGCAGAGATTCTTTGAGGAATGGAGGGGCAGGCTAGCAGAGATTCTTTGAGGAATGGAGGGGCAGGCTAGCAGTGATTCTTTGAGGAATGGAGGGGGCAGGCTAGCAGAGATTCTTTGAGGAATGGAGGGGCAGGCTAGCAGAGATTCTTTGAGGAATGGAGGGGGCAGGCTAGCAGAGATTCTTTGAGGAATGGAGGGGGCAGGCTAGCAGAGATTCTTTGAGGAATGGAGGGGCAGGCTAGCAGAGATTCTTTGAGGAATGGAGGGGCAGGCTAGCAGTGATTATTTGAGGAATGGAGGGGGCAGGCTAGCAGAGATTCTTTGAGGAATGGAGGGGCAGGCTAGCAGTGATTCTTTGAGGAATTGGACCTCACTTGGAAAGGATGGAAATTGCATTTTCTTGGCTGGTTTATCTATGAGCTGGCGAGATCGCATTGCATATAGGAATTGCAAAACCACTATGCACCTATCTGAAACACATTTTTTTTGCTTTGCTATCGCAACTTATCAGAGTCCAACTAGGAGGGCTTCTTTCGGAAGAACAACCATAAATAAATTGGATTTAGAAAAGTCGATAGAAGTATGGTATTTATACAACACATTTGCTAAGCGTGTTTTAGCATTTCAAGGTATATATTTTGCCTTTTTCCCCCATTGGCAAGCTTTTTACAAAACATTCAATTAGCAAAGTCCCTAGGGCGATTCTAAAACCAAAACGATTTCCAGAATTAGCGGATTTCACGGTTGAGGCACTAGTTACTAGTACTAATTACGCTGTTTTTCGGATTATACTGAGTTGGCAACAGCGCACTAATGCCTGTCTCTGGGTCCCTAGGGGGAAAAGATCTGGCACACACTTTTTTGCAAAAGTGCGTTTCAGATTTTAAGAAAGTTTCGCCAAAGCCAAAAAAAGGCTAAAGAATCGCAAAATTTCTGGAATTAGCTATTTTCACGGTTGAGGCACTAGAAATTAGTTCTTTTTTCCGGGACTTTAATAATTCAACTTCCCGCAGCACACAAATGCCGGTCTTCTGGGTCTCTAGGGGGAAAAGATCCGATGCAAGCAAGTTGAAAACATTATGTTTTGGACGATAAGCAAATCCGGTAGGCAATAAAAATGTCAATGCAGACGGGTTCCGTGCCTGGAAATGAAGAAAATGGACACTTTATTGATTTATTACCGCCATTACGGAATTCCTATTCCTAGTAAAAATTGCTAGGCAACTACGCAATCCTATGAAACAGATTTTTTGTTTCAAAACGTTGAACGAGGCAGAAATCAGCTTGAGGAGACTCTTGAGGAAAGGCTTGCCAAGGATAAAATTTAGTTTGAACCCTGTAAGAGCGTCTTCTAGCAGTTCAAGGTAGCTATTTTGCTTTTCTATCTTTTCTTCGGGAAGAATAGCCATAGATCAAATTGTCCATTGAAACCTCGTTTCGAGGCGTCAAGGTATATTTATTTTTTTTGGGCCATTGAGAAGATTTTTCCAAAACATTAAATTATCACAAGTCCCCCGAGGAGTCTCAAGAATCAAAATGATTTCTAGAATTAGCCATTCTCACAGATCGGGCTCCAGAATTTTACTTTTTTTTGTCATCCTAGGGTCGCGATATTAAAGAGCTCTGCCCGGATCCCAAGGAGATAAACATCTGACACACACGTTTTGCAAAATTGTGATTAAGATCTTTTGAGCACGTTCAGCTATTTCCAGGATTGACCACTTTCCTTTCACGGCTTCAAATTGCCACTTTCACAATTACGCCTCCAGATTGTTGCTGTTTTTCCGAGAATACTTAGGCTTGGCTTGGCTTAGGTTGCTTAGGCATAGAATCTTTATGCAGTGATGAGATCAACAGAGGTAGTATCGGGATCGTGGAATACATTATAACAGCAGATCTTCCCGTTCTGGCAGTGGTGGAGGGCTGGGCAATCCGAATCTTCTGAGCACGGGCCGACGGGGCGGAGACCCGAGCCGCAGGTTGTCAGCAAGAGGGAGACGTGCTCGGGGAGGGCCTGAAATTGATAGCAATCACATCCCAAATGATCTCTGCTAGCCTGCCCCCTCCCCCCTCTCTCTCATCCCAAATGAACTCTGCTAGCCTGCCCCTCCCCCTCTCTCTCATCCCAAATGATCTCTGCTAGCCTGCCCCCTCCCCCTCTCTCTCATCCCAAATGATCTCTGCTAGCCTGCCCCTCCCCACACTCAATCCTAAATTTTCTCTGCTAGCTTGCCTACCGTAGTGGTTTCAATCTGGCTCGACTTCTTTCCCTTTTTCGTCTTCTTCTTCGTGGTTACGGTAGCTTGGGTGGTGTTTCCAAGAATTTCGAAGAGCTCCTCCATTTCCGGTCCCTCCGGTTTGAGCGTCACGACGGAAACCTGAAGATTGAGGTTTTATGCGCTTAATCGGAGCATCAGGTACTCAGGACAAATTTTATATTGTCAGGTATGACTTCGGTAGAACATCTTTTATAAACTTCAAAAACCATGTGTCAGAAAAAGCCTTAAAGCATCCATTTCCTTATCTGCGAATATTTGCTCGCCTTATTTCACTTAAACTTGCCAATTATAATAAAGTTTTTTATTATATTATTTTCCTACTGTAATCTAGGAGATCGGGGACCGAATCAACGAGAAATATAGTTTAATAACCGAAAGGTCGAAAAAAATGTTTCCGAAAAATCATTGGGCTGAGCTGTGCGGGCGGGTTTAATCGCTTGAATTCTTCAGGCTAATAGTTAGGTTTGGGTCAACGATTTTATTTAATATTGAACTAATATATTTATTATTTCTGTTATTAGCTTAGATTTGGCTCGTGCTTCTCGTCTTTCCGGCCTCTTCAAGCTTTCAAAAAATGTTTCACAGAATGTCGAGGCTAATCACCTTTTTTCTTCAATAATTCTCGCATAGCCGTCTCGGCAAACCTACGGCGTTTCTTAATTTAATTTTAATTTCGTTATTTTATTTCATTAGCAGAGTACATTTTAACTGGTGGTATGACCATTTAAGTATTCGGCCTAGCAGTAATTCAATATTTAGGATAACAAATGTTCAACAAAATCAAATCCGAAGAGGGTAAAAAAGATCTTTCGAAAAAAATCAGGGAAGCTGAGCCAACCGAGCTTTTTAGTGGGATGACTGATTTACGTTCACTGATTTTTCAAAAACGAAAGAGGATTCACTAACACAAGCTATTTTTAATTAATATGAATATTTTATGAAAATTTTTTTGAATACGATGTTGTAATCCGTGATATTTTGACGTCAAATAGAACATGAAATCCCTAACATGGAAAACCGAATAATAAACAGATCAGGAAAAATGCTAAACATTAATGTTTCATTAATTATACGCTACCCTGATTTTTAAACTATTATAATAGTCCGTCGACGATTCTGGGATTCATTTTCACCCCACAAAATACGAAAGTATTTAACAAACTCACTCAATTTATGTTAATTTGATTAAATTATCCAGCTGACCTTCTTGGTGTTGCCGCGACGCGTGGTGGTGCGGTGCGGCCGTTCGGTGTACGGCTCCGGGGTTGTCCCGAAAGACGGCGCCTTTGTGCGTTTTTCAGCTAAAAAAAATTGAAATAATTAAAATATTTTATGGATGGGTTTAGTGCGGCAGAAAAATTTCTGGAATTTGTTGATTTCATCGATAAATTTAATTTGCGGCTCCGAGGAAAATAATTTTAATTTTTTACAACAAAGTGTTTCAACAACTTGGCTGCTCCGGGAATTTGCCTGGGCTTAATTTTCCCTTGTGGTGGTCCTCTCAAAAATCCGGTTGGCCACGTCCCTTTTAAAGGGGGTGTGACAGCTAGCCGTCGGCTTTCGGAGATTTGTTCTATTCGGCCGAGTGTGATTATCGAGGCTACCGTCTATCGTATTTTTAATGAAACCTCTTTTTCTTTTTTTTGTAGCAAAGTGTTTCATTCGATTGGCTGCCCCGGGAATATTGCTCAGGAATAATTTCTTTCCCTTAAAGTCCAGCACGCAAAGCCAATTAACTTCCAAAATTATTTCAAAAATCCGCTTGGTCACGCCGTTTTTAAAGGGTGTGTAACAGCTGGGGATCGGAACCATGGAGTGAAAACGAAAAGGAGGAACAAACGATGATTGTACTGACCCCGCGTTTTTAAAGGGACGGGTAAGGCGTGAGTCGGAATCGATTGACTCTGGTTTCCCTATAGACTTCGTTACCCCTGCGATACTCGACGTGCAGGCCCCGCTTGGCCGCTATAAAGCGCGCGTTCGATTACGCCATGAAAGAGGGTAATTGCGCGTTGCGTGTGCGTGTTGCGGTTGCGGCTAAATCTAGGGGAAATCCATATCCGAGAAAATCGATAGTTTGCCTGCCATTTTTTTTGTCGTGGATTCGACCGGCGTTTTCAATTAGACGCTGCTTCAGCCTATGTTTTCTCGTTTTTGGATGAAACATAAAGTTTTATTTTTGCTCGAACATTTATTTTAGAAAAATGTTTCATAGAATCCGAGACCCTTGAAAATTCCCACTGGACCTAATACGGCATTTAGTAAAGCTCGAGCCCAGGTAGCCCAGGGAGCCCAAGACGGTTTTGCAGTATAAGGTTATAAAAGTCGTATTAAATCTCGTAGTAATGCACTAATACTAGTATAATAGTCCAAAATTAATGCTAATGATACTCTAATATACCTCCGGAAGGTCCCTGAGCTCTTTCGGCTCCCAGCTTCCCTGGGCTCCCTGGGCTCGAGCTTTACAAACTGCCCTTTTAAAGGGAGTGTGACAGCCGGCAAACGGAGTTATTCCGACGACTGAAGGACGTATTACCGGTCGAAATAATATTTTTTCTTCTTTTTTCGATGAAACATTTGATTTCTATTCCAATCGGTTTTCCAATAATATGTAGCAGCATATTTGGTGCTTCGTGGGACTTTGCCTAGCTTATTAACGAGTATGCCATTGGAGACAGCCAACCTTCGTTTTTTAAAGGAGCTGGCAAGGCATGGCAGTGGAGATCGTTATGGATTAGCTGAAGATTTTGCCGCGCCCGCGATACGCAACGCACACGCCTGGATTGCCCATCGTCAAAGGTTAATATTCAACTACGCAATCATAAAAAAAGGCGTCTGCGTTGCGTGTTGCGATCGCAGCTAAAATTATCATAATTTTATTTACACTAATTACTCGCGCTACGGAATGGCTTAAGCTAACTTGTCATGGAACTTTTTTTCCAATCTCGCGCTTTTTTCTGAAAGTATGTTTCAAGTCATATAAAGAAGCGCCAGATCTTCAATTCGTCAATTGGTCTTTTCGATTTTTATCTGCATTTAAATGGTTATTTCTTCTTATTATTAACGGCTTTTTTCAAAATTTCTCTTAAAGGGATGCCGACGGCATAGACAATCGGTTACGCGCGGAAAAGAAAATGTCTCTGCGCCTCTCCCCTGGGCGCGCTCTCTCCCCTGTTGGCTACTTGCCAATTTGTTGATGGGGGGGATCGACACATGCCGTCGGCAGCCCTTTAAGACTCTCAAATATTAATTAAAGAGAAAGTCAATTTAAAGTCAGGTATCCGCGCCTTTTAAAGGGATCGTGAGAGCTAGCGGTCGGCTTTTAGTCAGAAAAGATGTCGGGACGCTTATTATCCGGGCTACAGATTTGTGTCCACCGTTTTTTAACGAAACCTATTTTTTTCAACGATACAGGCTATTATGAGAAAAGTCTGTTTCAAGTTAAGTTAAAAATCGGCGCATTCGGGAATTTTAATTATCGTTCCGCTTCGTTTCATCTATTGTCTTGTATTAAAAAATATTACGTGTTTTCTTGACACTTCTTTTCATAAAAAAAGACGTGAGTAGGATTCTAAAAGTCAAGACAAAATAAAGTTGATGCCTGGCAAGCGCTCCGTTGGCCACGCCGCTTTTAAAGTGGGTTGTATGGTACATCTGTGCCATATGCGTAATATCTGAATAACAGCCTTGCGTCGGCTGTATTTTGATGAAACTTGTTTTTCGACCCTCGCCCGTTTTTCTTAGATTAGAAGTACGTTCCTAGCCATATTAAAAGAACGTCAGCTCCTCAATTCAGAAATCCGCCGTCATGAGTTATTTCTCTGCATTTCATGGATATTTGTTTTGCTAGTTATTATTAACGGTTTGTTCAAAATGTACTCCGAAAATTCTCAAATTACTCAAATCTAATTAATTTCGGACGCGAGGCTTTGAAAGGTGGTGTGACAGCTAGCTGTGTCGTATTTTGTTCAGAACAGGTGTGAGGGTTGCTTATTATAGGGCCTACCGGCGTCTTCTAGCGTATTTTTAGCGAAACCTCTTTTTTTCAACCAGCCGCTATTATGAAAAAAAGTATGTTTCAGGTCAAGTTAAAAATCGCGGCATTCCCTAATTCTTAATAGGCATTCGATGATTTAGTCCTCATCTAATCGTCTTGCTTTAATTCAATAAAAATAAATTTTTTGTATGGATAAAAACGCCTTTTGTTTGTTTTCTGAACGGTTATTTTTATAGAAAAAGTCTTAAGGGACTTTCTAAAAGGCAAGACAAAGGGGCAAATGAAGGTTAGATCACGCTTGTTTTGCCACTCCTTTTAAATGGAGTTGAAGATGTGCGTTGTGTGTTGTTGTTATTAAGATTATCTGGCTGACAGCTTTGGCTCCTCGATATTTTAATGAAACTTATTTTGTGAAAGAAGCAGGATTTTTGTAAAAGTGTGTTTCAAGGTCAGCTAAAAAACAGTCTGTTGCGTTAGTTTTTAATATTTCGATCCCTTTCATACTCTTATCACCAAAAAAAAAAATCAATTTTATAAATTTAAACCAATTGTTGGGTAGCAGACACTAACAACTAATTATTATTCGTCGCCAACCGAACATTGCCCACTATTTTCAACGGAACATATGTTTTTTGGATTTCAAAAGAAACTTGGTAAAACAGTAAAACGATGTTTCAAATCAGAAACAACCTTGTGGGATTCTAGAATTTTTAATCAAGAAATGGTAGTATTCCTTTCCACCATAAACATATTTTATCCATTTTCGAAAATCGCTATTTTTTTATTCCCACCTGTTCCCGAGCCGATCAGCCCGCTCTTAATCTCGGCGGCTTCCCGCTCTTCGGCGCTGGTTACGGAAATGATTGAGCCCTCTTCTACCTGTAATCACAATAACGAAACAAAAAAATAAAATCAAAAAGTAAATCAAAATAGTTTCGCAGTCTAGCATAGATCATTTTATGCCAGAAGATCCCGCACAAAATGGCAATTTTTGGCGAATTTTTACACACTCATTCGAATTCGGCCTTAATTATGTCTGAACTTTCTTCTTTTGAGACACATATTTTTGAAACATCCGTGTTCTTCTCATCTCTCTCTGTCCTTCTCTCGCTCTCTCTCTCACTCTCGGTCGCTCTTTCTCTTTCTCTCTTACTCTCTTTCTCTCTCTCTCTCGCTCTTTCTCTCTCCCGCTCTGCGTTCTTTAAAAATTTCTGCTGGCACTCCCTGAATCTCTAATGCCGTAAAATAACGTACATCTCCATCCACCGTAGTCAGCGGCCGTTCATTTCCGGAACCTCCGCCAGCTTTCAGTCCGGAAAACGGTGTCGTACAGCATGCCTGGTTGACGCAAGTCCCGCCCAGCGCCAAGCAAATCGCATCGGCGTCGAGTCTAAATCATAGACTTAAATATCAGAGTCGTCCTTGATTCCTCAAGTTTCTCTGCTTGCCTGCTTGCTTTGATACAAAAATTATGAAAAGCTTAGAAAACAAAATGTTTCACAATTCTGATGGCGGACGCTAGAAATTGTACGCCATTCACAAGATCATAAATGAACGTTCTGATGCTATTTCACAGTTTCGTATAGGCCATTTCCAAGTGTCCGGACCCGGTAAGTCTTTTAGGGTTTTTGGCATCCCAAATAATCTCTGCCAGCCTGCCAGACCAAGGTTACAAAATTAACACCATAACCAGGGTTGAAAAACCGCTTCGCGGCTTTTCAACCCTGGCCCCGTCCCTCCAATGATATTTTTGACTTTGCATAATTTTCCCAGATTCGGATGACGAAAAATGAAAAATGCTCTTGCCTTCGCTTTATATGGACTACCGCGACTTCCGGCGCATGCTAATTTGATCCTAACAAAGTGGGGTGTCCGATTTTCCATGAAAAACTTAATTTTAATGTCGAAAACATCATATTTTGTAAAGTCTGATATGTGTGCAGTCATCTCCAGGCCATTACGCACCTAATGACGTATCGAACATACCCCTAAGTACTTCCCCTCTTGAGATACTACTGGAACACGGTGACGGAAGTTGTATGCAAATGCACACACACGCACACACACAGACACTATTTTTTTATATATAGTAGGATATTTTGCAGTTTGAGCGTTAAAAAAAATAATATTTCAAAATTTCGAGAGTACAAAATTTGATAAATTCTCGGAATAATCACGCGCTTCGGCTCTCTCGGCTCGATTCACACGTTTTTCATGGTTTTTAGCCGCGATATGTTCGATGGGTTTTCAAATGCTGGGATGCTCAAAAAATCGAACAAAACGAAACTGACAAAATTAAATGCTTCAGAATCCAATAGTAAACGATCGAGAATCCGAAGGACAATTCGACTTGGGTACCCAAACATAAAATTTTTTACTGAAAATCTGTTTCCACATTTTGTGTGTCGTAGTCGAAAATTAAACCGTAATCGCGCAACTCTTAGCAAGCAAATCATCAAAATCATCACAACGTTTATTTGTTTCGGCAAAAGTGTTTCAAAAGCTTACATTGTCTGCTACAATAACGTCTGCTTAATACTATGTTTCCTGGAATTTCGCGTTAAACTGTGATTTAGGCAATCCAGATCAACTCTTCGGCGCTTTCACGACACCGTCACCCGGGTTAGGGCTTTTTATACAGGCCAAAGAGTCAAAAAAAATAGTACAATTCAATAATAAAATTTGAAACGTTTTAGACTTTTATATTAAACGATGGAAAATCTGCACGAAATATGGATTCAATTCAATTCGACCAGAATATTTAGAATTCAAAAAAAAGTTTTTTTTTTGCTAAAAAACTGTTTCGAACGTTTTGTGGGTGGTTGTGGAAAAACAGCAGCGTAATCGGTTGTTTTTAACGAAGCAAATCATCAAAAAAATTTGAAGCATTTGAATTTGTCGACAAAGTGTTTCAAAACTTTAGATACCCCGCTAAAAAACGTTTGCTTAATTCATCGTGGCTGAAGGCGAGGCGCTATACTATGATTTAGCTAATCCGGATCAACTCTTCCGGGCTTTCCTGATCCGGGCTATCGTTTTAGGGCTTTTTTGCGTCCCAAAGGATCTCTGCTAGCCTGCCCGACCAATGTCACAAAATTGATGCCATGCCTATTTTTTCATTTCATGCATTTATAAAAAGAAATATTTCAAAAATTGGGGTCATTCTGGGAAAAGTTCTTGGATTAATAAATTCACGAGGTTTTTCTTCAATTTTTTGAACCATAAGAATTTTTTTAAATTCCTTTCAAAATTCGAAACCGGCTTTTTGTGGATTAAATTCAAGTGTTTCAACCAATGTTGAAGATATAGTAATAAATTTTCGGGATAATGTAGCTTCGCGACTTTTCAGCCCTGGTCTTGTTTTGTGCAATGCTACACTTCGCTTTGCATCACCGTGCTGAAATAAGATAACAAAAAATGAAAAACCGCCCCTTCTGCCCCTTTATATAGACGACCGCCCACTTCCGGTCTATGCTAATTCTTTGCTAACAGAGAATGTTTTACAAAAACTTAAATTTAATACCGAAAATGGGTAATTTCTAAAAATCGGATACGTGTGCAGTCATCGCAAGGCCATTACGCACCTAATGACGTATCGTACTTACCCCTAACTCCTTCCCCTATGGAGATACTACTGGAACAACGATACGGGAGTGGATGCAAAGTGACACACACTCATACACTTTTTTATATATAGTAGGATTGGGTAGTTGTTCAATAATGTAGGAATCTTTTCTAGTGATCTTTCCGCTAAATACCCTAGAACCGCGTGTGTAGTTCCCCCTCGGGTATAATTCCGGGTGAAAATTTTCATGTGTACGGAGCCTCCGTAATTCCGTATGGCCGTCAATAAGCGTGTATCGTTTTTCGGTTTCTTGCAAATAACTTCATTCCGTTCATGAATGGTATTTTTGCAATTTTGAGGGAATATTTGTTCGCATTTCGGCTATTTCCAACATTTCAAGTGGTTTAATGAAAGAAATTGATGGTGGGGATCCAGAGAATCATCTCTTTAGCCTGATATAGCTTTTGCGGCGAATTGCCCCCGACGCACATTATTGGGTGTCATTTGTACTGGTACGTGCCCAAATTGTACCGGAACTATACACGAGTTTTTAGGGTATTTGTACGCATTTGACGGCTTACCAGTCTTCATCCCAGAAAAAAATAATTTTTTTCCAAATATGATGTTTCGTAGAATTTGGACATTTGCCGTGACTTTAGCCGGATAATCGAAGTCGTGAAAGTTGGTTAAATGTTGATATTTTTGTTTAACTTTGCCATGAGCTAACCCAGAAAAAACTAAAAAAAATACGATTAACATTTTTAGTTCAATACAATAATTCATCAAAAAGGCCCGGATTGGCATTCAGAATCCGAGATGCAGACCGATAAGGAAGTCGTAATTCTTATTTTGTGTGATTTGCTGGAAACTTTGGTAGTCTTTTTTGTGCAAAAAACTGTAAGCTTTACTTCTAAATCTAAACATAAAACTAAATCGATTAAAAAATGGCTAAAGCTCTATTTTTGTGTGTTTCAATGTTTTGCGGGAGACGGTAGAGTACAGGGTGTCCCAAAAAAATCCCCCTCCCCCTAGCCGGCCGCAGACGTGTCCGATTTTTACGATTTAGGTACTTATCGAAAGCTCTCGGAAAGGCGAGTCCAGCAGGTCTTGCGGATTTTCGAAATGTCAGAATTTTTTGCTCGATTCTCGGCATTTTTCATGCCAAAAGGGCAGACTTTTTTGTTCAAAACGCAATTTAACCAGTTTAAGCGCTTCCCAAGCTGTGTTTTCGCAAACGGCTTTCAAAGAGCTGTCGTTGGGCTGCCAGGAAAGGCATAAAAATTCCTAAATTGCGATTTTTGTAAAAACCCCCCTGGTCAGAACAACATCAGAAAATTCGCCCATTTTGCAAAAACATTAGTAACTGATGGAAAAAAATTCCAAATTATGAAAATCGAAGAGGCGTGCTGGACTCGCCTTTCCGAGAGCTTTCGATAGATACCTAAATCGTAAAAATACGACAGGCCGGCTGGGGAGGAGGGGGGATTTTTTTTTGGGACACCCTGTAGTTGTTAATAATTTAGAAAAAAAAATTGCTATTGATTTTCCCCGCGAAAGATTTGTCCGCAATTGACGGCTTGCTATTTTTCATCTCAAAAAAGTTAATTTTAAAAAAAAATAAGGTGTTTCGAGCTATTTGGGCATCCGCCCAGCCTTTAGACGGATAATGGCTGAGATGTGGGCAATTTTTACATGGTAGCTAGTTTTTATCGGTTTAATTAAAGATAACTATCGATTTTTTTTAATTGAACAACTTAAGGTTTCGGTCCTTTTAACGGCCCACCTGCACTGCCCGATGTGCGCGCCGCCGTTCTCGCATTTGATCGTCGTCCCGTATTTGCCGCCCTGAAAAAAAATGTTGATTATTAATGCGCAAAAATATAGGCCAAAAAGCTAGCGAAACAAGGTACAAATTGTGGAAAAATCTAGTGGCTTCAGAACGAATAAACGTGAATTGTCACCCAATTATTAAAGTCAAAAGCCACCGAAAATTGAAGTTTTCCGAAACATTTCTTTCTAAGCGATAAGTTTCCCGTTTCGCGGAAAATTCGCTTTAAACATAATTGAGTAAAAATCGCTGTGAAAATAATTATTTAAAAACAGGGTTTAAAAGATTAATAAAAGAGGGCTTGAGGATTTCCGAAACTCACGTATCTTTAATTTTACTGAAACATCAAATTTCTAATGATTTTTTGGAATCCTGTCCGGTTATATCAGTTAGGAAAATTGGTTAAAAATATTTAAAAAATGTATTTTTAAAAATAATCTGGGAAAAATCACATCCAAAAACTATTTTTGTAATGACTTTCAAAGATTGACGCAAAATTCAGCGCTGTATTAAGGATTTCTCGAAATTCCGTATCATCAATTTGCTTGAAACATTTCATGTATACCAACAAATTTTTTCATTGCTTTTCCGCTATGGACCCGCCTTCAATGGCCCTTTAAAACGAAAAAATGACAAGTACACTGACCTGATTATTTCCATGGTTATTCCATCCCCATCCACCATCACCCCTCCTCCCCATCCATTCGGGCGGCCAATTTGAAGGGAATAAGCCGTCGGGTAGCCGATGGCCACATTGTTGTTTGGCGGCGGGGCTGAAATATATTGATTTTACTAGTTTAGATTTTTAATTGTGTTTTTAGAGGTATTTTACTGGGTTATAGAAAGCATTTAGAGATTTGCTATTTAGTGACCTAAAGAAAAGTACTGGCTTTGAATTTTTCACGAATATGCCGGCTCTCAGATAATATTTCACTTTTCTGGAAATTACATGTTTCAGAAAAATCTAATTTACCAGCCGGCCAAACGTGGTTAATCAGTTGGACGAACGTAAGAATAGTAAGTAATTGTAAGAATATTTATGTTTCACAAATTAGAAGCATAAAATGGATTAAAGGTTATTTTAGTGCCGCCGAATTCAATGGACCTTCAAAAAGACAAATTTTGATTGCGTAATCGATGGCAAGCGGGGTAAGCTCCAGATTGGATCCATAACGATGCCTTGCTGATGCCTTTAAAATTAAGGAGTGAAATGATCGGAAAAAATAAAGCTGTTTCACTAAATAAAGTGCGATAAGTCTATTTAAAGAACTTAATAGGCTCTGTTGGCTTTGTAGTCTTTAAAAACATATTCAGCTTTTAGGGTCTATAATAAATTCTACATGTTTGGAAACACCGCAAAAGTTTCGAATTCTCGGAAGAAAAAATGTGTTTCGTTAAAATATATAGGGTGGTGGCAGGCAGGGTTTTTAATCCGGCTTCCCTCGTCAGC